TACAGACCTGGGAGGCATTCTTGGTGGCCAGGTGGCTGCAGAGCAGGTTTCAGTCAGCAAAACTCTCAGCGTACTCTTCCAGGAAAGCTATTTTTAGCCCATGCCTCTCCCTATCTCTTGCATTATCTTGTATCTTCTGTGTCCCAAGCCTCCTGAGGTTCTTCTGTGTCCTCCCCCTCTAGCTCCTGCTTTGGAAGGGGCCACGGGAGCAGATTGTGTAAGAATCTAGCTGCTCCCACAGTTTTTGACCTAAGTGGCCGGTTGGAAAATCATTCTCCTCGACATGACAGGGAATGTAGAGGAGCGCGGAGTGTGAGGATGGGTTCAGTGTGAGAGAGCTGAGCAGTCATTCCACAGGCCCTCTGGGTGGAAGCTGCAGCCTCGCGCAGGCCCAGGATGGACCGTGTGTCCCAGGACAGGGCACCGCCAGTTACGTGATGGAGTTAGGTGGACACACCAGAGTGAGATCATCCAGCAGTGGATGAAGCTGAGGAGGGATTGTTAGGGGCTCGAGGACACCGACCACACACAGTGAAAGGGCATGTCTCTGTCCTCCAGGACTGAGATAAATGAGAGCCCAGTCCTTCAGGGCAGCTGCTCGTAGCTGCTTCTGAGGTCAGCTGGGGCCTTGGGACTGTCTGAGCTTAACAGCTCCGGTGCCTGAGCCTGGATGGGGCTGCCGGCTTGCCTGCAGCTGTGGGGACAGCTGGTGTGGCTCCCCCCTGGGATTCCCTTCTCAGGGTGGCCTAGGATCAAAGAGACTACCTCTTCGCCTCAGGGTCACACTGAATTCCAGCTCAGCTCCGGATGTGAGTGCCTTCCTCTCCCTCAGGCACGACAGAAGCTGAGGTCCAGCCATCCACAGATTATAGTGTTCTCAAGTGCCCTTGGGTGGACAGCCTCACTGTGGCATTGACAAGCTAGAGGCTAGCTGGCTTCCTCTTCGTCTGCTCCAGCAGATCTGCCTGGATGTAAGATTTAGTTTTCCAGCCTTGCCTGCCTAGATGCCAGATGCTCCACTCAGCCCTGGTGTGCTGAATTCATCCAATTTTGAGATGGAAACTGTACCCGTTTTATAGATGAGGAAACTGAGACTCTGAGAAGTTAGGTGACTCAACTTGCCCAGAAGTGGAGTCTACTGGTGTCTGCAGTGGACAAACTTCAAGGTTGAGACCTGAGTTTTTGCTAGGTGTTGTCTAATGTCCTATTCACTAACTTGGTCACACCTGAGTTTGTGTGTGTGTGTGTGTGTGTGTGTGTGTGTGTGCGCGCATGTGTGTGTGCGCATGGGCGCCTGGGCGCCCACGCAAGCGCACACGTGTGTGCGCATGCTCACAACTGCAAACACTCACTGATGCCCCCTTCCTGTGCTGAGATCTACTGGTTTCCCCTTGAGACCATAGGAACAATGATGAATTAATCTCATCACTTTATCAAGGAGGCACTTAGAGAAATTACAAGGCGAGGCCACCAGCCTGGCTTTGCTGGCAGCTGGCCGCCAGGCCCATAAAACAAATTGAAAGGAACACAATAAATAAGTGAAATTAGAAATACACATAGGCACGCGTGTATGTTTGCATGCGTGCGCGCACGCACACCCTGAAGGGTCAGGAGGTTGTCCCACATTCGCTGTTGGCACTCTTGTCCTGTCATCTTGTCTTAGGATGACAGCAGGACCAAACCCTCACGTGCTCTTGGCCCCCACCTCCCCATTCTGAGCAATAAATAACCTGTGGCTCACCCTCACTCAAGGGTGGCTGGCTGCAATGCTCCTGAGAACAGAGCATAATATCTACACCGTACGGCTCTCATGAGCCGGCCCCCTGGGTTCAATTCCCAGGCTGCTTCTGCTGGAGTTAGGCTCTCCCTTCTCACTTGGAAAAACGTTAAAACAAACAAACCAGACTCTCACTGTCCAGCCTATCTCATTCTGGACTTTGTGCTTTTTCCTAAAGTCTCAGGCTCCTGATGGCTGGGATTATAGGCGAGCACCATTATAACCTGTCTCTCATCTGATAGATGGGGAGAAATTGGAAGTTAAAAACTGAATATAGGTTGAGCAGGGCTGTAGCTGAATGTTCGGTTCTTTAGTGGTTAGTGTGCTTTGGGAACCTGCTGGTGTGAGTTAGGTATTTGGGCTGGAGGAAATAGACAGGACATGGATGGTGGGCCAGCATGGGGTGGTTGGCAGAGAGGGGCATCACCTCCCCAGTGGGATCTGATTGGTGGGCTGCAGGCCTGGGCACGTGGTGAACTTGCCTGTCCCTGTTTGCCAGCTCCAGGAACGGGTCATTACACACAGTGCCGGGCAGTGGGAGGGGCCCAGGCTGTGGATGGTGTGAAGATGCTTGGGTGGTAGAGCCTCTTGGACAAACACGGGACAGATGCGTTAGCTGAGCCTGTGTTTTCCTCTCTCGTTTATCTTTGGTAATAGCCAGGTGTAGTGAGTGACTCAACATCTGTCCTCCAAGACTGTAGGAGGATCCCTGAGTTTGAGGCCAGCCTGGGCTACAGAGTGAGATCCTGTTTCAAAAATTAAAAATCACTAGACAAACAAAAACCGTGTTTATATGGCTATTGCAATCACCACCACACCCCAACTGACTTCCCATGAAGTTACACCAGTGAGTTCTCTCAGAAATAACATTGGAGGGGCTGGCGAGAGGGCTCGGCAGGGGGAGATGCTGCTAAGCCTGGAGGCCTGAGCTTGAGCCTTAGGATCCACGTGTTGGAAGAGGGGACCAGCTCCAAGAGGATAGATGTCCTCTGGTCTCCAAGCATACAAGGTGGGCACTTGGGACCCACACATGCACAGTGCACACATGAGTACACAAACAAATGCAGTACAAACACAAAGAAAAAACGGAAAAGCACTGCTCAGAAGAAACAAGGGGAAAATGAGAGAAGCGAGTTGTCCCGGGTCTCCGAGGTTCTTGGCCTGAGCTCTGGAGAATGAGGCACTGGGGAACTTGGGCCCAGAAGTGACACTGCTTCAGAGCCCTTTGTCATCGGTGGCCCATGGCTCCTGCTTTGCTCTGGGAGACCTGAGAGTGTTTCCATGTCCCACACCAGGAGGCTGTGGCATGGATGCCCTGCGACACTTACCTCCCCTCCTGGCCACCAGGCTGCCTCCGCTGCTGGATTAGTAATGGAAGCTTGTCTTGGTGGGTGAGACACTTTCTAACTTCTTCAAGATCCTTGTGAGGTACAGGGGAGCGGGTATAGGGGCTCTGGGCCGGAGATGTAGCTCATTTTGGCTTTCTAAGTCTCCGTTTCTTGGTTTGTGAATTGGGCACTGATAGGTCAGCTGAGAGTTAGGGTAAGGGTCAAGAGAGTTGATCCAGAGTCGGCACATAGTAGGTTTACAATGAAGCCTGGCTGTTATTACTGAGTGGGCAGTAGCAGAGCAAGGGCAGGGCCCAGCTTCTCCCCGGCCCTCTGGCATGCGATGAGGATCTGATACCTTTTGTTGCTTTTTTTCTGGTACCAGGGTTGTAGGCCCACGGCCCACATATGTTAAATAGGTGTTGAAAGGACAGGAGACTCAGGCCGCCCTGCCCGATTCAGAAAGGCAGCCATGCTTTCACAATGAAGATGGCTTTATAAAATAAACAGCGCATGTGCTGACGTGGTTTGTCGTTTGGCTTGAAGAGTTGTAGACAGCCTGGCCACGTAGCCCACATTGCCCTCAAACTGCATCTTGCTTCCCCGGTGCTGGGACTAATTGAATGAACCGCCACACTTAGGCAGTAGTTATTTATTCACTGCTGCTTTGTGTTTTGAGACAGGCTATGTTCCTGTGGCCCTGGCTGCCCTCAAATTCCTGTTCTGTATAGGAAAGATGACTTTGAATTTCTAATCCCCCTGCCTCTACCGCCAGGTGCTAGGATGCCAAGTGTGTACCACCAGGTCTGGTTCATGTGCTGCTGGGTGAAGCACCCGGGACTCCATGCACACGGAGTAGGCGCTTTATCAACTGAGCTACATTCCAGCTCCATTTCGTCTCTAAGACGTGTACTTGAACTTCATCCGTAGCCAAGAATGACCTAAATTCAATCCCACGAACCTCATGGTGGATGGAAAAAACTGACTCCTGCCCAGAAAGTTGCCCTCATAACCTCCATAGACACCCATACTTCCCTCACTCCAACACACAATAAATGCACACAAATAAATAAAATAGCCATTATAAAAATAAAATGACGGGAATGCACACTGCCATGCATAACCTGGGCTACAACTTGTTTTTTTTTTAATTTATATCTGTCTGTCTGTCTGTATCTATTTTGATGCAAGGTCCCACTGTGAAGCCCTGACTGTCCTGGAACTCATTATGTACAACAAACTGGCCTCAAACTCAAAGATCTGCTTGCCTCTGTAGGGATTAAGAGCATGCACCACCACACCCAGCCTAGGCTACAGTTTTTTTTAAAGTGACTTGCCATGTAAGGATGTTCGATCCTTCCCTTAGGAGCTAATGGTTACTTTGCAGATGAGGAAACTAAGGCTGCCTGACAGGAAAAGATGTCCTCAAAGAGAGGGGATCTAGGTGGCCTGGCTCTCAGTGGGAGCAGAGTCCAAGGCCTGCCACAGTGTTCCTGGGCTTTTCCTAGTGACAGATGCTAGCTGAGGCTGGAGGAGCTAGGGTGGCCTGTTCTGGAGTAAAATTCTGTCTCAGCATGTGCTGATGCCGTCATCCTCCCCCACCCCCATCCTGTGACTGTTTCAGAACCCTGAGTGACCATGCTCAGAAGAATGATGTTTGTTTGTTTTCTCCCCAGGTGGCTGCTTGGCCACCCAGCTCACAGGCTGGAATTGGAAAGGGAGAGAATTTGTAGTGTCCCTGACAGCCACTTTGAGTCCCTGCTTCTGGTAGCACTTCCCTGTGCATCCCTGGGTGGGGCAAGTCAGCTCTGGCCTATTAATCCCCAGACAGTCAACCTAACGGGTTGGGGTCCGGGATGGACAGCAGGCACCTGGCAACCCTCTCTGTGTTGCAGGGAACATCGAGTACAGCTGTCCGGCCACCAACGAGTGTGAGATCACCAAACGGAGGCGCAAGTCCTGTCAGGCCTGCCGCTTCATGAAATGCCTCAAAGTGGGGATGCTGAAGGAAGGTAAGAGGCCCACAGCCAACGGCCAGGGTCAGGACACCGCTTGCTTTGTCTTGCTGGGGAGTGTCAGGCCTGCGAAGGGTACCTGCAGGCCTAGGGCTTCCCCAGGGGTTGTATGAGTATGTGGGCGTGTGTATGCGATTGTGCACATGTGCGTGTGAGGCTACAGGCCGTCTTTCATGGCTGCCACGCTGTAGCCTGCTGGGCTCTCTTCTTGAAAAGCTGTGGGCTAGTAAAGTGGAAGTCAGGAGGTCCCAGGGGTCCTTTTGGAGCCTCAGCTGCCAGCTTGTCACCCTGGGAAGTCCTCATCTTGGCGGGTGGGCTAGAACTCCCAATGCTTCTTCAGGTTTGGGGGTGGGTAATGGCACACTTGGCAAGGAGTGGTCCTTGCTTCTAGAAGAGTTCAGGACATGTCTCTTGACTGGTAAGTGTTTTCCCACTCCTGTTCCTCTTCCTTCTTTGCCTCTGGCCCCCTTCCTGTTGCTTTTTCCTCTGGAGTCGTTTGGTGCATTAGGTGCAGCAGGCAGAAGTCACAAGTGCCAACTGAGCTATATTTAGTTCCCTCATCAGAAGGTGTGTCCTTTAAAAAATTGTTGGCCATTTAACTGTTAATAGCTTTTAATTTTTGTGTGTTTCTTTTTGTGTGTATGTGTAAGTTCCTGCGTATATATATGAGCATACCTGGTGCCCTTGGCCGTTATAAGAGCGAGTCTGCTCCCCTGGAAGTAGTTGTAGGTGGGTGGGGCTGGAAACTGACCCCTGGTCCTAGATTGAGCTAACTAAAGCACAGTGACATTGTGACATTTGTGTGTCTTTTTTACTTTAAAAGGGACCCCCAGGAAATGTGAGCTGGAGCTCATTGTTTAGAAGGCTTCTGTAGGGCCCTTCCTCACCGTCTGTGTGGATCTGCCTGGTTTGAATCTCAGTACCATTTTAGGAGTGTGTGTGTGTGTGTGTGTGTGTGTGTGTGTGTGTGTGTGTGTGTGTGCATGCGTGTATTACGATTCCGTGTACACACACCACTGCATGTGCTTGTGTGACGCCCTCAGAGTCAGCGCAAATTCCTACAGATCAGCTTCTGGTTTTTTTTTTTTTTTTTTTTTGAGACAGGGTTTCTCTGTATCGTCTTGGAGGCTGTCCTGGAACTCACTCTGTAGACCAGGCTGGCCTCGAACTCACAGAGATCCGCCTGCCTCTGTCTCCCAAGTGCTGGGATTAAAGGCATGTGCCACCACCGCCCGGCTCAGATCAGCTTCTGAGCCTTGGTCCTTCCCAACATGGAAGGAGATGGGAAGAGTTTATGGGGATGAGGAGCAGGACGAGCAAAGAGGACAAAGATTACTTGGGTACAGTCTTTCCTGGGAGGGGCAAGGTGGAGTTGCTGGTCTCCCCAAACCTAGCACAGCCTTCATCAGGCCCAGCTTTCCCCTCTCCTCCCTGTGCCTGCTGGCGAAGTGGTTCTCTGAGGTGTTTGCCCGTGAGAGAGCTTGGACAGAGCTTCTAGTTACCAAATTCCAGTCGTGCCTCTCCTCACCTGGGCTCAGTTAGCATCCTCACCGTTGGGGCCGCTCTCAGGGCAGCTTCCAGGGACCTCTTGCGTCTGCGGCACACTGGCCCTAAAGTCCTGTCTCAGTTACAGGTCTGTTGCTGTGAGAAGCATCAAGACCAAAAGCAGTGTGGGGAGGAAAGGATTTACTCAGCTTACACATCCACATCCCTGTTCATCACCAAGGGAAGTCAGGACAGGAGCCTGGAGGCAGGAGCTGAGCTGAGGCCGTGGAGGGGAGCTGCTCACCGGCCTGCTCTTCCTCAGCCTGCTTTCTTAGAGAGCCTGGGACCACCAGCCCGGGGATGGCACCACCTACTAGGGCCTGATCCCTCCCCCATCAATAACTAATTAAGAAAGTGCCCTACAAGTTTACCTACAGCCCCATTTTATGGAGGCATTTTCTTTTCTTTTTTCTTCTGGTTTTTCCAGACAGGGTTTCTCTGTGGCTTTGGAGGCTGTCCTGGAACTTGCTCTTGTAGACCAGGCTGGACTCAAACTCACAGAGATCTGCCTGCCTCTACCTCCCCAGCGCTGGAATTAAAGGCATGCGCCACCACCGCCCGGCTGGAGGCATTTTCTTAATTTAGGTTCCCTCCTCTCAGATCACTTTAACTTGTATCAAGTTGACATAAAACTAGCCAGCACAAATCCCTTCTTCATTTGTTATTTCTTACCCCTCTGGGGATGTGCCAGCTGCTCTGTGGGGCCTCTGTGGAGGAAGCAGCCTTTTTCTAGTTTGAAATGGGCTGTGTTGGTCCTGCTGTATGTAAAACCATGTTTCACACTGCTGCACAGTTTTGGTCTCCATTGTGTATAGGTGTGACCAAGATGGAGGGGTGACTAGGTCCCCTGCCTCCTACGCCAGGCTCTTCCTGCTGCCAAGCCTTCTGATGTTTGCAGATGAGGAGGCCCGTGGAGGTATACCTGTCTGGTCTCCGTAGTCCTCGGTGCTGGGAACCTGAGGGTGTCTAGGTTCTGAGGAGACTCCTTCCTCCTAAGCCCCAGAGATGGGAGCTGCCTTGTTCTGGAAGCTGAGGGAGACACCAGGTCGAACACTGCAGATGGACGCTCCCTGGCTGGAGTGTGCCTCTGCCTGCTTTCTCAGGGAACCAGCAAAAGGCAGCCTCTTTCCTTTATGGCGATGCATGAGCCCTGCAGGGGCTGGAGTGGGGTGGCTGCCCCTCCTTCAGTCACCCTCTGGCTTGAGAGGATCAGGGTCCAGATTTGGCTCTTCCTGTCCCATGCTTTCTGCACCCCCCCCCCATTATAGGCCAGGGATGGGGGAGGGGCAGGACCGCCACTCAATCCCTGGACGGTCTCAGTGCTCAGACTTCTCTTTAAGGGTTATACAGTGCTGGGAATGAGGAGGGCACTTTCTAGAAGTTTCCAGAAGGGGTCTCATCCATGGCTGGAGAAGTGCAGCTAAACCGGCTGAAGGGAGACCCCTGGGCTGCTTCCTGAAAGAGAAATCAGTGGATGATGCAGGCCTCCGATGGCGGGAGTAGGGTCCTGCAAGGATGCATGCGGTCCAAGTGAGAGGATCTGCATGATGGCCCCCAAAGTTGCCTCACCTCCAGGAGTGTCTCCCCGCCGTGGCAGCCAGGTGTCCCCTGGGCGGATGTGCTGAGCCTGATGCAGCCATGAGGTAGCCTTGCCTGAAGGAGGAAGAGACAGCCACCAGGCACACCCCACCTCACCTGCCTGTGTCTGAAAGGGAAGAACTGACAGGAAACCTCCCGAGTGTGGGTGAAGCAGAGCTCCTGGCTGAGTGTTCGTCCCCATAGAGCTCTGGGTAGCTGGCATCAGAAGCTCCCCGGGGACCAGCCTCAGGGAGGAGCAGGCCTCCTGCAGGAGTCTGGGTCCCTGCCAGGGAGAGCTCTTGGCAGCTGTCCTGCCTCCTGCTTTTGTTTGGGTGTCCCTCTTTGCTCTGTGTGCAATGTTTGGTCCCTAGGGCCACCCTCCCCCCCCCCCCCCCCCAGTCCCCCAGCCTCTGCCTTGATTCTGAAAACAAACTTCACACTTCCCTGTGCTGCTTCCTGTGTTAGGGTCTCACAGTCAGCTGGGCAACAGGTTCCTGAGTCTTACAGGGAAACGGGGTGTGAACGCCACCCCTTTTCTCCCCACATCTACATGTCAGTGCCTCATTCCCGCCCCCCCTCTGCCCAGCAGCTCAGGACTGCAATCCAAGATTCAGGAGCTCCAGCCATTACTAGGGACATGAAGTCAGATACATGGTGTCCTCTGTCTCAGGGTCAGATGCCTCGAGTGGCTGGAGATGAATCCTGTTATCCACGTGGCTTCCTTTGGCTTTGTCTATCCTGGGATAGATAACTAGAGTCGTCAGTGACTGAAGGCAGTACCTCAGTATCTTTACGCAGATCCACTGTATGACAATTCACGTTTTTAGGGAAAGTCAGTCTTTTTTCTATGTGCGAAATTGCACTTAAAACTGACGTGGTTTCAGAGCTGGCCACTGGCGTTCTCTTTGTGGTTCTCATATTTAGCGCTCCCTGGACCTGCTCTCCGTAATCACCTCCTTTGAGACCTGCTGTTCACCATCAGCTAAAGGTGGGGATCCAGAGGGACAGCCGTGACATTGCTTTGGTGTGTCAGCAGCCTTCTGGCAGTGTTCAGCTAGAGCTACCCAAGTTCACACTTGTCTTTTCTACAGCTGCCCGCTGAGTCGGGTGAGGCAGCCTGGACGCATGGATCTCCTTCCTGGGTTTGCTGGTGGGACTTCAAGGGGATGGCATTACCTTAGGCTGATCCTCTCCGAGTTCTGGAATCAGAATGGATGGAGATGGTCCCTGGCATCTCAGATGTGCACTGATTCCGTCTCCAGACTAGAAACCCCACTTGCTGCATCTGTACGGTGTCCCCCAGTCTTCAGTTCAGCTTGGGGACCCTGAGTACTTGTGGCTGGCCTGCTCGCCCGCTGCCTCCTCTCATGACTCATCCCCCCTCCAGCCGCTCCTGCTGTCCCCTTCCTGCTCAGCCCTGCCTGCCTCTTCCCAAGTGTTTTACGAAAGATATTTGATTTCAGTGAGAGCTGGGCTGCCGGCCATGCAATATGCTTTCACTCTCTTCGTGCATGCTGGAAAAGCAGAAAGCTTCTCTGGGGACTCTGGGTAATTGGGTTAGTGGCCAGCGCACATTAGGAAATTAAAAGGGGGCCCTGATCAGGTTCCTGCTGCATGGAGTCTAATGGGTTTGCATTTATAGAATGCTCTGCCTCTAGCCCATGCCAGAAATACCACTTTTCTGGTTTTGTGAATGAAGGAAGAGAAACTCTTTCGCTTTTCCAAAATACATTAGTGTTTTGAAACGAGCCAACTCCCCAGCATGTCAGAGAACAGCATTGAGCTACTTTCTAGCCTATTCATGTGTGCTCTCCCATCATGATAACTCCAAAGATCTTTTCCAAAGCCTCCTAGACACTCAGGTGCAATGCCCT